CCATGTTAAAAAGAGATTGAGAGAACTATTTAGCTTGCAGAAAAGGTAATTAAGAGGCAGATCATAGCAGTCTTGAAATATTGAAAAACTGCTATGAAGAAGTGAGTGAACAATTGTTCTCCCTTGTTGAATAGGAAAGGACATCAAGCTTCAGATGACAGCAACATCAGGGGGAAAAGCACCCTTGTTTCTAGACCAGTGCGGATGTGGAATAGACTGCCCAGGGACGTTGTGGAGGTTCCTTCATTTCAGGTTTTCAAAAAGAGGATAGTCATTGCTCCCAGATGATTTAGGAGTAACAGTCTTACATTTGTGCAGCGAGGTGGACCACATGATCCTTGAGGCCCCTTCTGACCCTATGAGTTTATTATAATTAGCATTGTAAAAGCATCATGAATTTATATTGTGGATTAAGAGTCAACTGCAAGTGAATGGACACAGAGACAGAAGGATTACTGTGTGTCTTTTTAAATAATCTCTTTTTTTTCTTTTTCCTTTTACAGGGTAGACAGAAAGATGGGAACTAGTCCTCCTAATATTTCATGCATGGGTGAACTGCTGGAACTCGAGTTGACACTACTAAGGTTTTGTGAACCTGTCCGGTTATACTAAAACAGCATTTTCCAAACAAAACATGTTTAAAGGGAAATTTCCTGATCACCTTTGCTACTCATCACAAAACATATTACTGTGTTTTGATTATAGTAAGGGAGGGTTACCACATTACTGGGGGAAAAAATTCAGGACCATAGATATCTGTTCACCGCTGCTCAAACAAGTTGTGGTTTTTAAGAAAATGTCCTAATGGAAGTTAGGTGCTTACTTTAAATGAGATTTAAGGTCCCAAACTCACTTGCCTGTTTCAAAATATTCATAAGATCCTAGGACTGGAAGGGAGAGTATTGCTTCCTCCAATGATATGTTTGGTCCTAATACAAGAACGCTGTTCTCTGTGTGCATCTATTCATGAAATTAGCACAGCCGAATGAACTCCACCACAGTTCTTGCTGGAGTTTCTTGTTCCTGGGTGCAGAATTAGAGTAGATGGCATTAGATTAGCAATTTGCTCCCAGTCACCCTAGGCAGTGGGGGGCCACAGAGGACAGGGGGTGGGGTAGGAGACCTGTCCATGGCTGTTGTGTGGCGATCAGGATCTTATTCCAGCTTGATGGTGCTGGCTTGGGGTGATGCCTTGTGCCCAAGTATGGGGAGTGGTGGGGGCAGGCGGGTGGTAAGCACTGCCGGGACCGGGGAGAGGGGAGACAAGAGGTGGAAGCAGCACCAGGCCTTTCCTGTTAGCTTTGTTAAAGATGCCATCAGCATGCCTAGGTGGGAAATGAAGATCACATGTAACAAAGAGGATTGAAGGCCAGACCCACGAAGGGTAGATCGGGGAGGGATCATGCCCTCATCCTGCTAAATGAGGTCCCCCAACTGGCTGGTGGGTCTGAGCCTGGTTCCTCCTCTCCCCACTGCAGCACTGCTCAATTTAAAGGGGTATACACACACAGGGTGCAGCCCCCAGCTGTTCCCAGCCCGGTT